TTATCATTAGTGGGATTTTTCAGTGCTTTTTTTGTGGTTTTATTATTGATATATCAGTAACCAATTTACTGATTTTTGTGTGACATTACAGCCTACAACTTTACTCAACTAACTTTATTTTTAGCAATGACTTCATTTCTATTAAGACTTTCGTTATAAGAGATATTGTGTAAAAAAGTTATGTTTTTATCTCTTTAAGATAACCATCACCAGCATTTCTAGTGAAGTAGTATATAAGGAATAATAACAGAGAACATCCATTTCTTGTTCTTTTGCGGGAAAAGGTTTAAGTCTTCAGTAAACAAGACGTTGAATCTTGTTTTTAAATACACAGCTTATTATATTAAGAAAAAACTCTCCTAATGTTTTCAGAGCTTTAATCTATAAGGCAATGATACATTTATCTGGATGCTTTGTCCAGGTCTAATTACATTATTTTTATATTTTGTTCATGGTGAACGAGGTTACTGGATTTCCTTGAGTTTAACAGTTAATTCTTTTAATGTGTTATTTTCTTTGCAGATATTTTACTTGGGGCATTTATATCTGTATCTATGATCAAAATTGGTCTAAAATATTCCTTTCATTGTCTTTGTTTAGCTTGAGTTTAAAATATTTGCCTCTAAAAGTGAACTGAATAATAATTGTAATAGCCTGGTTAACTGCTTACTATGTGCAATGCACTGTCCTATACAAGTTATGGGAATTTTCTCATTTAATCCTCACAACAGCCCCTTTAAGCAAATATTATTACTCTATCCAGTTTACAGATTATTAATATGCTATAATTTCCTATATTTAAAAAATTTTTATTACTGAATGAATTATTGGTTCTTAGAAGATTTTGAAGACATTGGAATCAGATGCCCCTTTAGAAACTGTTTAATAACTTTATGTTTCTTTCTCTATTATCATTATATTTATGTTCTCTAATTCATTTTTGCATCTTTGGGGATATTCCATACATTTGTAAGTAGCTATCTATTTTTCATTTGATAAGATGTAATAGCCCACAATTGAAAAGAATATTCAACTTAAATATAAATCTTTTGTATTAAGTATGTTTTCCAAATCCTGACTTCATTTTAATTTTCATTCTCATTATCAAAATTGATATTGTTTATCAATTGTTTTTCAAATAATCAATTATCAGATTTCTGCTTTAATTATTTTTCTTCTATGTGGTTTGTTTCCATTTTTTGTTTTATTATCTATATTTTGCTAGCACCTTTAATTTGTTGTTTCCCCCTCTAAATTATTTAAACAGAGTTAATTATGGCTCAATGATTGGAGAAAATTAAACATGAGAACCTCGAAGTCAAAGACAAGCATTTTTCTCCACCCCTTGGGCTTTCATAAAATAGGTCCAGTGCTCAGGCTGACACAAACCCCAGAGCTGCAGTGGTCACAAGAGAGAGATGCAACTGCCGATGACGCAAGAAAACAAAGTCAACCCATGTGCTGGCTGCCCAAGGATCAGGAACAGAAATGAAACCTGAACAAACAGGTGTCCAAGTCCAGGCATGTACAGGTTAGTGCAGTGTTGCCCACAGTGTGAAGCCCGTACCTACAGGGGTCTGAAAGTTGGCATTAGGTGGTTTACAGAGATGGAGACAAATAGCACCAAATAGCCTGGTGAGAAAGCGATTCCCTTTTGAGTTCTTTCTACTTCTCCTCCAACCCTTCTGACCACCTCTCAGAAAAACACTCAGGTTGGTGCTATTTCCCTAACTCCTCTCTACAACTTTGCATTCTCCTTTTTTAACCAAGTAAACGTGGGTTTCAGACTCAGAACTCTCTGCAGGTAATGGTGTTGGCTAAAATTCAGTAAGCGATACTGCTTTCTTATGTTATAATGGTGTACAAGCTTTCTTTTCTAATAAATGAATTTCAATTAACAAAATTAGCGAATTAAATAACTATTAAGGAAACAAAAATACAGGTGATAAGTAAATATGATTGACATTTGGAAGACACTATGTTGATATCAGGTGAAGGAGGACTATCTTTAAGGTCTCACCCAATCTCAAAGGCATGAGGTCACAAAGGGGGACATTAAGAACAGCTACCCATTTGTTCAACAACACTGATGTCTCCTATAGTCCAGACACGGTCCTAGAAACTGGGAATATGGTAATACATAAAAATAAAGTTCCTGCTCTCATTCTCATGAGCTTATATTCTAGAGAAACACAGTGATGATAGATAGATAGATAGACAGATAGATAGATAATAGATGATTAGATAGATAATACAGATGATAAGAGAGAGAGAGATGGTGCTGAGAATAAAAACAAAGCAAAAATAAGAAAGAAGACAGATTCAGGGGTACTATTTTAGATAGCTGGTGGGGGAACCCTGAACAGAGGTGACATTTTAGCAGAAATCAAACTGAAGTAAATCATAATGGAGCAGAATTCTCGGCAGTGGGATAACAAGTACAAAGACCCTAATGTAGGAATGTGCTTGATGTGTCCAGGTAGAGTGAGGAGGCCATCGTGGCTGGCCTGCCAAAAGTGAGGGACAATAAAGGAGGTGAGATCAGGGAGAGGGCAGAGGCCCAGGTCATGCGTAGCCCTGTGGGATTTGGCAAGAACTCTAGGTTTCGTTTGAGTGAAATGGGAAGCCACTGGAGGATTCTGAGCAGAGAAGTAACATGATCTGACTTACATTTCTTAACATTCAACCCTGGATGCTGTGTAGAAACAGACTGCTGAGGCTTTAGGGAGCCCGGTTAAGAGACGATTGTAGGGCTTCCCTGGTGGCACAGTGGTTAAGAACCCGCCTGCCAATGCAGGGGACACGGGTTCGAGCCCTGGTCAGGGAAGATCCCACATGCCGCGGAGCAACTAAGCCCGTGTGCCACAACTACTGAGCCTGCGCTCTAGAGCCCACAAGGCCATAACTACTGAGCCCGTGTGCCACAACTACTGAGCCTGCGCTCTAGAGCCCACAAGGCCATAACTACTGAGCCCGCGAGCCACAACTACTGAAGGCAGTGCATCTAGAGCCCATGCTCCACAACAAAAGAAGCCACCGCAATGAGTAGCCCTCGCACGACAACGAAGAGTAGCCCCTGCTCGCTGCAACTAGAGGAAGCCCACGCGCAGCAACGAAGACCCAATGCAGCCAAAGATAAAAATAAATATAAATAAATTTTTAAAAAATAAAGAAATAAGTAATGAAATCACTTTACGTATTTAAAAAAAGAAGAAGGGGAAAGTGACCAGCAGTGCTGGCTCCAGCTTGTTGGGTTTCTGTTGGGTTTCGGGAGATGGAGCCTGAGGAGACGAGCAATGGTGGCCTTAAGGAGGGAAGTTCCAGGAACTGGTGGGGAGGCCTGAAAAGGGGGCTACGTGAGAGAACAGGAAGGGGGAACTGGAGAATGAGTACTGACCACATTTTGAGGACTTTTGCGGAAAAGGGGAGTAGACGAATGAGCTGATGGCCGGAGGGGAATGTGAGGTCAAGGGTGGATTTTTCAAACTGGGGGATGTCTGCATGCTGACAGGAATGGTCCAGATGCTATGGGGGTGGTGATCCTTTCTGTTTGAAGTTAGACGTTTTGAGCTTTGGTGTTCTTAAAATAGGAGTACTAGGAAAGACTATCTTCCTAACCAGTGGGACATAGTAACAAGGACATTTTCTTCTCCCATACCTCTGGGGAAGTGGGAGGATGGGCAGGAAAAGAGAGGATGGAGACACCCTGGTTCAAAAGGAACATTAGTCAAGAAAGAGACAGAGCTTTTGTCACTGCACCACACGTGTCAGTCTCGGCACCTATGCTGCAGCCACACGAACAAGCCCTCTCTCCCTAGTACAGGCGACCCTCTTCCACCATGTCCCTGCCCTATCCAACCTGCTCCACGCTCCCCTCCTCCTGCCCCTGTGCTGGTCACTGCAGGATTCCCTGATCCATTTACACTGATGCCCCAAGTTTAAGTTTACCCAGTAGTACTTCCTTGGTCTTTTTGAGAAAATCAAAGTACTGCTTTGAAATCAGACCAACCTGGAATCAAATCCTGATGTCTTCCGGGGAAATTATTCAAACCCTCTAGGTGTCAGTTTACTCATCTGTAAAATAAGAATAACACCTACCTTACATACGTTGTGAGGATTAAATTAAATACATGCACATACATGCACACGCCTAGTCCTGTATATGACACGCAGTAGGTGCTCAATGTCAGCTCCCTAGGCTAAGGAGTTACCTTTCCATTCAAGAACAAGAACCATTTCCTTCATTGTTTTCTCATCTCTCACATCACCCAGTTTTAGAGCTGTTTTAACCAGTACTGATCAAATGAGGATTTAACCCATATTAAATACATGTTTCCCTTCATTCTTACTTTTCACCAAACAGATTTCTCTTAGCCTCCTGCATTTATATCTTATGGTTGTCCTTTACCAAAGATTCTTGCCTTTGGGTCACCAAATACTCAAATTCTTTTTAAAAAAATCACATCAGTAAAACATTCATTCAAAACGAGCCATTTATTTTCCATACTAAGGCATAGCTCAACACAGGCCAAGAGCTTAGCTGGGTCCTGCTGCAGAGCTGAAATCTCCATCCCTGCTGTACGTTGCCCAATTGAGCCGGTAAGCTCCTTTGCTCCAAGCAAAATGGCGGCACAGACAAAGCCTTCCAAGACCGTTTACCCCTTTCACTGCCTGCACAGTTCCCAGGTGGGCCATACCGATTCCCATAGCTTTTCCAGACTGATTTCCCCCGTCAGCTGTTCCCCATCCCCAAGCAGCACAGTAACTCCAGTTGCTTCTTTCTCCCCCTCCCTCTTGATGATTTACATTCTATAGGACCCAAATCCCAACTAACTATGTCTTGTGAAGCACTGAAAAATCATTTCTATCTAGTGAAACTTCAGCTGAGCTCGCACTGAACTGTTACGAACTCCAGCTTTGAGGGACCCCTATGCTGCCCTGCTGCCCACTCTGTTACTCTGGGCAACGTTACACCTTCAGTTTCTCTTTGTAATCTGCAGGGGCAACTCTTTCCCTCCAGAGGTGAGGCCCTTCCTGGATCAGCCCCAGCAGAAGGGTTGGCTGAGCTGTCCCAGTCAGCAGGCTCTTCTGTCCACGTTTGCTCTGGCCAACTCCATCCCACAGCATCATCACCAGGACCAAGGTGGCCCAGGGTCGGTGACGAGTGGCAGCCGGAGCATCTTGATCCCTGGGCTCCATGTGGGTGGAAGAACATGGGAGATAAAATACTGGTGGGGAAGGAGGTTTGTGCGGAAGGAGGATGTTTACGAATATTACCCTCAGGTTCCATGTATGTGCCATTGTGGTTCCAGAATTCTGTATAGCAAGGGCCTTCGGGTGGCAATCCTATTGGGAGTAGGAGGAAATTACATTCCTATAGCTCTTTACTTATAACATCACAACAGAGAGTATGATAGAATTTTGGGGGGCTAAGACACCCTAAGTACCCCCCTTGTTGCCACCACTGAGTACCGGGCCGTATGTCACAAGGATTCTCCTTGGAGAGATGGCACATGGGGCTTTGTGGGGCTCAGGTGCAGTAGTATTTTGGTGGCAAAACCATTAAAATCCTGACTTTGGGATCTGTTGAGGCCACAGGACTCCCTGGTTGATAGGTAGAGAGACTTCTTTTGGGTTTCTACCAAATGAACACAGAGATGTGAGCTGAGGGATTATATGAGGGAAGGAGGGAGGCATGGGCGCCTCCATCTTCTCTAAAGTCTGCTCCTGGTCTGGATCTCCTAGCAGGACCAGCCAACCATGGAGAGGTGAAACCACATACAAGCGCTTCTGAGTTCATCCTCCTAGGGCTCTCAAGCCAGCTCGAGAGGCAGGAACTGATCTTCGGGCTCTTCCTTGTCATGTACCTGGTCGGGGCAGCAGGGAACTTGCTCATCATCCTGGCCATTGGCTCAGACTCCCACCTCCACATGCCCAAGGACTTCTTCCTCAGCGACCTCTCCCTGGTAGATTTCTGCTTCATCTCTGCCACAGTCCCCAAGATGCTGGTGAACATCCAGACACAGACTCAGTCCATTTCCTATGGCTGCTGCCTAGCCCAGATCTACTTCTGCATTTTGCTTGTCAACATGGACAACTTCCTCCTGATGGCCATGGCTTATGACCTCTACACAGCGACCTGCCAGCCCTTGCACTACTCCATGGTGATGAGTATGCCAGTCTGTGCCCTGATGCTGGGGAGCTCCTGGCCCCTCGCCAACTTCCACTCCCTGCTACCCACCCTCCTCATGGCCCGGCTGGAGTTCTGTGCCAGCAACGTCATCCCTTACTCCTTCTGTGACCTTGCTCCCCTGATCCAGCTCTCCTGCCCCAACACCCAACTCAACCAACTCATGATTCTGCTGGAAGGGGGACCTGGCGGTCCTCATCCCCTTCCTTGGCATTCTCGTCTCCTACATCCACATTGTGTCTGCTGTGCTACAGGTGCCATCTGCCCGGGGCAAACCAAAGGCCTTTTCCACCTGTGGCTCCCACCTTGCTGTGGTCATTCTCTTCTATGGGACCATCACAGGGGTCTACCTGAGTCCCTCATCCTCCCACGCAGCTGACAAGGATTCTCTGGCTTCAGTAATGTAGATGCTGGTCACCCCCATGCTGAATCCCTTTATCTACTGCCTGAGGAACAAGGACATGAAGGGAGCTCTAAGGAAACTTGTCAACCTGAAGGCTTTATCCCATGGGCTGTGACAGCAGAGCTCTCCTTCAGGGCCTCTGTGCTAGGAAGAGGATGAACCCCAGGGACAGGCTCCACACAGAGAGGGTGGGAGGAGCACAGACCTCATTGTCCTGGGTTGTCACCATGGCCAGGGAAGCCTCTCATTGCTCCATAAGTAATCTGCAAGTCCCAAACTTCTTGGCCCCTGCACTGACTGCCCAGACTACCAAAGGGGAATAAACTCTCCCGTAAAGACAGGACCACATAAACAGGTATAAACTAGCTCTATCTGCAGACCTTCTGGAGGGGGTTCATGTGAAGGGTGAGCTCATAGGAATCTGTGACCTATGCTGACAGCCTGTGCCAAAGAGATGCCCTCTGAGTGCCCCCATGCACCCCACAGAGCCTCAGACCCTTAACCCTCAAGCATCCCAGTTTCCAAACTCCTCCAGTTCTTCCACCACCACCCCACACTCTGGGTTGAACCTAGCTTTGGAGACAGGCTTCACGGTCCTCCTCAAAGCTGCCCCACTCTCGGCCTTGGGTTCTGCCGGGTGGAGCTCCACAGCTCTACCTACTTGTATCAGGAATGCCTATAATGACTGTCTCAGCTGAACACCTACGCAGGCCCCATACTGTCCCACTTATGTGCTTTTCTTAGGAAAGAGAGGTCTGCTAGCCACACGGTAAAGAGAGAAGAGAGGCTAGACTTATAGCTGGTTCTCTGGGTGTGAAGCACATAAAAGGCATGAGCCACAATAATCCTTATGAAGGTGCTTCTCTACAGGAAGGACCTGGAGAGGAGACAAAGGGGAAAGGCCTCATGTAACAAGTTTATGGCTGAAGAAGTTGTATGTGGCCTCCTGAGCAACAGGATAATATCCTAGGCTGCAAGGGGTATGGCAGAGCTGGGAGAGCATTACCCAGAAAGTCAGCACAACTGGCATCCAGTCCTGGCCCCTCCGATTACCAGCCATTTGACTCCAGTCCCTCTGAAATTGACCATTCTACCAAACACACCGCGCATTTTTGCCCTCTCATGCTATTACAGCCATCCCATTTTGCTCATTTCTATCAAAACTCTCACTGTCCTTCAAGCTCGCATAAAACACCATGCCCTTCGTGAAGCCACCTCGAGTCTCCCCAGTCAAAAGGAAGTATTTTTTTCTCCTCTGGAACTCCATATAATTTGAATTCTATTATAGCCCCTTTCATGCTCTGCTTTGCATTCTTCCACTTTGCAGAGTTCACCTCAACTCTACCCCAAACAGGATCGTTGGAGTCGAGTTTAAAGATATTTTTAAATTTTAATGTTTTGATTTAAATTGACAGCAGACATGGAAAAGGAACACTTATGGCCTTTCTCCCCATGATTTTGCCTTAACCAATACTTTTATATTTCCCCAACACCAGACAAGGAAAAAGAGTTTACCAAGCTGGTTGATCAGAGCCCAAGGAGTTCTCTGGTCCATATTTTATGAAGGGCAGTGTGCCCTAAAGGGTCATCATCCAGGCATGAAGCTCCCTTCCTTCCAGCCTGGCCCCCGACTGCTCATCTTCTATCCGTATGTCTGGTTGGAGTCTCCACTTAGGTCCAGTCACTTCTCTCGCTCTCTGTCTCTCTCTCTCCCCACCATGCCTGAGCACACAGGTCCTCAATTCAGATCTGGGGCTGAGAGTGGGAAGCAAGGGAGGCCAAAGCTACTTTTCAGCCCACCTTTTACCAGTGAGCCCGTGATGGAGGTTACTGGGTATAACTCAGATACTAACAGAGTTGTACTTTGGCTCAAAGTTTGCTATTGTTCCTTGAACATATTGTTTCCTTGGGATCCCTCAGGAGTTGGGACTATTGGATTTCAGCTCTCCTGGGTCTCTAACCATAAAACTACAATAATAGCCATAAAATCTCACCTCAAACCCATGAAAGTGATGTGAAGAAAAGCTGACGTCAGCATGGAGAAGAGGTCTTCGTATGCATTTACTATAATGGTGAATAATACAATGGTTTGGCCTCAAAGTAAAAAAAAAAAAAAAAAGAACAAGAAAAAGATTTAAATAAAAAGTTGGGGGGGAGGCAGCAACAAATAAATTTGAAAGACCTTCAACTGACCTTGCTCATCCATGGGTTGTGAGGACACTGCCTGCTCTGATGCCTACTTTTCCAAGGAAGGGCGTAGGATAAGATAACCCTTCTCTTACAGCAAACACCTTTTCAGCCTGGTTCAAGTCCTGGTCTGGAGGCTGCTTGCTACAGGGTAAATAAGAAGGAATGACCTGCACACAGGTCAATTATAGAAAGTTCAGAAGCTCAGCCACTCTTATAGACTTGATAACATAAACCCAATCGTGTGAAGATACCAAAATGTTAACTTCTATTTAAAAATAAAATGTTCAAGAAGAAAGGGTAGGGGACTTCCCTAGTGGTCCAGCAGTTAAGACTCCAGCTCTCAATGCAGGGGGCCCGGGTACGATCCCTGGTAGGGGAACTGAGATCCCACAGACCACAACTAAGCCCGCGTGCCGCAATGAAGAGCCCACGCGCCACAAAGAAGACCCAGTGCGGCCAAAATAAATAATAAATTAAAATAAATTTTTTAAAAAAAGAAGGGGAAAAAATAGTTCCATTATCTACGTTTTTTAAATAGCTCGTTTTTGTTTTTGCAGCACGCTGGCCTCTCACTGTTGTGGCCTCTCCCGTTGCGGAGCACAGGCTCCGGATGCGCAGGCTCAGCGGCCATGGCTCATGGGCCCAGCCACTCCGCGGCATGTGGGATCCTCCCAGACCGGGGCACAAACCCGTGTCCCCTGCATTGGCAGGTGGACTCTCAACCACTGCGCCACCAGGGAAGCCCCCCCAGTTACATTTTAAACAAGCTCCCCAGGTGATTTTGATGTAAGTGGTCTTCAGATGACACTGAGAATCTCTGTTGAAAAGCATTGTTAAAAGATAAACTGAGGCATAGTAAAAATTTTAAGAGTTTACCTGAGCAAAAACCATTCCAGCCACAGGATGTAGGGGCAAGACATTCACAGAGAAGACAAGAAGGCAAAGGGAGGAAATTATTTGAGTGGCTATAGCTTAGGCTGCCTTATACAGGAAAGTCAAGTTGGCTGTTTGTGATTGGTCGTCCTTAGGTTTCGATTTTTTTTAACCTTGAGGCATTTACAGGCTGAGGTTTTGGTTTGCTTATATAGGCTGCCAAGGCTTTAGAATCACCTCTAACGGTCTCCTTGTTTAATTAATTTAACAGCATGACCAGTGATTTGAGATACCATCTTTATTATAAGTTAAATTTCCATATAGAGCTGGGTCTATTTCTGAACCCTGTATTCCACTCCATCCCTCCATTTGTGCTACCACCATGCTGTTTAAACTCTTGGTTTTTCCACCTCTTATTTTCCATTCTTTCCATTAGCACCTTAGAATGCTTAGAACTGAAGACTGGGAAAACCTAGTGGGAACACTGGTTCTCAACGATAAACTGCTTATCGTTCACTCTGTTCTTCCAGTTCACAGCACATGCTGAGCCCTTCCACAGGAGTCAGCGAAATGTCTAGATGATAGAGACCGGATTTTCTCGAATTCTTCACAGACGTGGAGATGGTGTAAGACTCACACAGCTTCTGCAGGTGGGACTCAAGAAGGCAAATACAGACTTCTACCACCACTTTTTCCCAGTCTCTCTAAAAGCTAATATACCACCTTCTCAATAAAACACATTTTTTAACTAGGAAGGGAAAACATGAAGCAAGCTCTTACGTCTGCCCTATTTCCTGGTCTCTGGCCACTTAGACGGTGGTGCACGTGGCAGCGATGGCAGACCTTTTACTGGAACCTCTCCGCTCTTCCAAACTGCTTCTCTTAAGTCCCTCTGCTTCTCAGGGCCCAACATCTGCATCACCCACCCCACCCCTTCCATCCTCACTCTCCCAGCAGTTTAAATTCCCAGCGACAAACACAAGGAAGACAATTGCCTGCCTTCCCCACTTTATAACAAATGTTTCCTGAAATTTTTTATTGAAACAGGTCAGTCCTGGGAATGGGCTGGATAAGACCAATCTCTAGAAATATGCCCTTCACTGAAGATAATAAAGAAAAATAAGGCAAGATAGGAATATGAAATTGTAAGAAGCCCAAGTGAATTTCTTTGACTTGTAGAATTTCTAAGTGAATTCAACATAACTGCAATTGGCAGGACAGCAGCTACAGATGACTGCCAGATCGGGGGCCGCTGGGGGGCAACTTGCTGCAGGGTTCTTCCCTCCTAAGGCACCCGCAAGAGAGCCTTCTGGCTACGAAAAAGGTAGAAATCCAGGTCTTTCATCCATTCAAGTATTTATGACTACTGTGGGCCTTAGGAGACCTTATCATGGAGGCAAAATGTTGGAACTGGCTGCACTGTGCTTCACTGGCTCTCACTACGCATGCATTCACTGACGATGGTGAACCTAGCCCCAGGCAAAAGCTCGCTGCTGTGTGGAGAAGTGCAGCAGGTGCTTGCCTGAAAGGAACCCAAAGCAACCACCCAGGCTGCCTGTGATAGACCCCAGCACCCCATCCTGAGATTCCACTCCAAAAGCTCTTGGCTCTGCTTGGCAACACTACATTTAACCCACGTGATCTCTAGTAACTCCTTTGTTTTCTAGAAATTAGGCCAGGGCTCTTTAAGGTTAGCAGGAAATAGCTCCAGGCCTTGGAAGCCCAGTCCTTTCAATAGCTAAACCATCTAAGTCTTTTCAGCTCTTACCCTGAACCCCAAGGGCAGGGGTTCTCGGCCAGGGTCAGTTTTGCCCCCAGGGGACATTTAGCTAGGCCTGGAAACATCTTTAGTTGTCATCAAGTAGATTGAGGCCAAGGATACTGCTAAACAGCCTACCATGCACAAAAAAGCCAGGGCAGCCTCCAAGACAAAGAATTTCCTGACACAAAGGGAGAATAGTGGAGAGGCTGAGAAACTTGGGCAGAGTTTAAAAGAACAAGTAGACTCTAGAGAAACGTGTTCTGCCAGTTCCTTTCCCTGTCTCAGAAGTAGACTTGAAACCAGCTTATTTTTTAAGAAACAAAGGTTCTCATACTTTTCCCTAGGCCGGGATAAAACAGGTAAGGAAAGTATTTTTAGCACACTTAATCAGCCTGCAGACAACATTCACCCTGGCATACACTTTGAGAGGCAATTTTTTAATGCGTTAGCTCCCCAGGACACACCTTGGGCAGAAAGTTACCTGGTTCTGTTAACACCCAGGGGATAAAATGGGGTTTCTCTTACAAAGGTCACACCCCTCGGGAGTGGCACCTTACCTGTCACAGCAGCATGGCCCACGACGCGCAGCCAGGCCCTAAAGTGCACGTTAGCCCTGTGTGAGGGAACTGCAGACACCCAATCATACACAGTGAAGGCTAAATATAAAGTGACCAAATATCCCTGTTTGTCCTGGAGTCCCATTTACACCACTGTCCTGACATAATTAATAGCACTTCCCTTCACTCTCAAAAGGGGCAGGAAATGCACAAGATGATCTTGTAACAACCTGTCACACCAGACAGCAAAGAAGCTATCAAAGATGATTAGGGTTATGTCCATTTAGGAGCCAATGTGAAGAGGTTCCCACTGGCCAAAAGCGAAATGATTTGAGGATCAATAAGAATAACAACTGTGGTGGATTGGTTTGAATTCATTAATGCATTTTGATTAAAAAATAATAATAACTGATCACTTTTATAAGAAGCAAAGCCACCAGATCATTATTATTGTGAAGACAGGTAAATAAAGGGAAGGAAGAGTCAAGCATTTCCTTTCCTCTAGGAACTGTATCTAATAGTGAGGGGAAATTTCTTTTTTTTTTTTGAGGGGAAATTTCTTACAGAAGCTTTCCAGCTAATAAATGAAGAATCTTTTATAATCTTTTATAGAATTAATGAAATAAATGCATTTAGGCTCCCAACATCATATGAGAAACAACCAGACATGCCACCATCTGCAATGTGTTCTTGCCAAAGTGTGAAATACAAATCTGGCTACACCTCTACACCTAAGTTTTTAGTTAATCAGATGGCAGAGAGCTATATTAAATTATGCCATGAGTATGCAAACAATAAAATTCAGAGTGTGAGAAACTCCACAGGATAAATAATTCAGTTGTTTCAATAAATGAATTTCAAGGGGAGGGGAATTTCCCTGGCAGTTCAGTGGTTAGGGCTCCACGCTTCTATTGCAGGGGGTGTGGGTTCGATCCCTGGTCGGGGAACTAAGATCCCACAAGCCATGCAGCGCGGCCAAATAAAAAATTACAATTAAAAAAAAAATTCTTTTCAAGGGGAAAAAGGGATAGGAACTATAGATTATTAGCCTTAGAAGACAAAGCAATAAATTAAAATTTACGGATCTTACTTTTTTTTTTTTTTTTTTTGGCTGCACTGGGTCTTCGTTGCTGCGCACGGGTTTTCTCTAGTTTTGGCGAGCGGGAGGTACTCTTTGTTGCAGTGTGCGGGCTTCTCATTGCGGTGGCTTCTCTTGTTGTGGAGCACGGCCTCTAGGTGCACTGGCTTCAGTAGTTGTGGCACGCAGGCTCAGTAGTTGTGGCACGCGGGCTCAGTAGTTGTGGCACGCGGGCTCTAGGGTGCAGGCTCAGTAGTTGTAGTGCACGGGCTTAGTTACTCCGTGGCATGTGGGATCTTCCCAGACCAGGGCTCGAACCCATGTCCCCTGCATTGGCAGGCGGATTCTTAAACCACTGCGCCACCAGGGAAGTCTTCTTACTTTGATCTTAAAGAAGGTTTTTTTTAAATTGTGGGTTTTTTTTTTTAATATTAATTTGGAATTAAGCAACTGCTCAGTTTCTTAGGTATGATAATAGTATTGTGGGGTTTTGGGGTTTTTTTTAAGAATCCTTACCATTTAGAGGTATACACTGAAATATCTATAAACAACATTTGGGATTTGCTTTAAAATACTTCAACTGGGGAGGAAGATGAGGAGGAGGATGGGGTAGAGATAAAACAAGACTGGTTATGAGTATATATTAAAGTTGAATGGGCTTCCCTGGTGGCGCAGTGGTTGAGAGTCTGCCTGCCGATGCAGGGGACACAGGTTCGTGCCCCGGTCTGGGAAGATCCCACATGCCGCGGAGCGGCTGGGCCCATGAGCCATGGCTGCTGAGCCTGCGCGTCCGGAGCCTGTGCTCCGCAACGGGAGAGGCCACAACAGTGAGAGGCCCATGTACCGCAAATAAATAAATAAATAAATAAATAAATAAAGTTGAATGATGAATACATGAGGATTCATTTACCTATGTTTGAAATTTTCTATTATGAAAAATTCCTAAATAGAAAAATACAGAAAACAATATTTGACATTTGAATAGATACCAAAAATAAGGCTACTACAACCCCATGGGGAAAGATTTCTTCTGAGACTCTTTTGAGGAACTGTCCATGAGCTTTGGTCTCAAAGCGGACAGGGGAGCCCACGTGGGAAAGACAGCAAGGCCTCTTACAGAAGCTCCCTCAAGAGATCTCAACTGACTGGAAACCCAGTGTATGATCAGAGAATCTACCACTTAATTCAGGTAAACAGAAGCCCACTGATGAGCAACTCGGAGGCCACGTTGGCCCCAAACTCCCCGCCTAGCTCTGGAATACAGACCTTCCAGAAAAGGCCAAACTCAGGTCAGGTCAGCCCCCACATCACACAGACTACAGGCCAGAGGCTTAGGAAAAGCCTCTTACTGGGTTTGGCCTCCAGGCGGCTGTAAGCCTTGCCTGGCTTGTCTGGGGCATGGGGAAGAAAAGAGCTGACTCTGCATCTGGACCTCGATGTTGCTGAGAAGTAGCAGCCCAGCATCTCAGAGAATGGACATCTCACAGCGCCCTGGTCAGCGCAGCCTCATGGGGACCACTGAAGGGCCAGGAGATCATTCGCTAAATCAAAAGTAAACACCACGGTTATCTGCCAAGAAATGAGTGATAAAATAATGTTTTTCAAGGTGGACTGAGTAATGTAACTCTCTGTATTAAAGTCATTACCATTTACCTTATTTACAATGGAAAATGGGGGGAAAAAAATCCCAGTGAAAGAATATAATATCAAGAGGCACCATGAGACAAATCACATCTTGCAATTACAGGACACAGTCCAAAGACAGACTAACTTACAGTCCCGCCAGAAAACTAATCACTCAGCGGCCGGCGTCCAAAGGCACAGCATTACAACACTGCAGCACGGTCCAGGCTAGTTAGGCGGTTTCCAGAATGTCCAAGAGAAAGGAAAACCTTTAACGACGGCAAGATGATATAAGAAAGCTTAAACACATTTACAAACACTGCATCTTCTCATTTTTTTAAAAAATGTGTTTTTTTGATGCCTACAAACATCTTTGTCTTTCGTTAATTGGCACTCATGCAAAACAGACTGCTACCGTCTCATCATCTCCAGGTGGCCCTGAGGACCCCAAGTACCTCTCAGATGACAAGGACCGAGACGCACTGAGGACGGAGATGATTCAGGAACAAGAGGTAGGTGGTGGCGAATGCATTTCAGGGCCAGCTGACAGGACTGAGGCACAGGCTCAGATGCCAGGTCCAAAGGGTCCCGGGGAACAGCCACGGGTTCCACTTTGGGTGGTTCTGAAGATCAAATACATTGACCAACACGTAAGCTCCACGAGGACAGGGATTTCCCACCCCACCTCCACACCCTGCCTATTTTATTCATTGATGTACTTCAAGCACCTAGAAGAGTTCCTGGCACACTGTCGGGCCTCAATAAATATTTGTGGAACGAGTCAAGTGAGAAAACAGGGAAGCAGCACATTTTATATACTGTAAAGTGCCATCAAATACAGGGTATTAATACTAGTTCATCTTTCGGCCCCATTTAATTAGAATTTTATACAGACCTGGATGTTTGTTTAAAATACTCTCATGTTTATACACTGATCAAAAGCAAAATATTAATTTCCTAACAGATGTGTGGACAGTTGTTATTGTTCAAGGAATAATGGAATGGGGAAACCACCAACGAGTAGACTGTCACAGAGACAAAGGGGGCCGCAAATAAAGTAAAATAAAGGAGGCTGCCTGAGCGACCCCAGCTGGGAGGAAAAGATCAGGCACCTGGAGGGGCAGGGCAGAAGGAGCGCAGAATGAGCCTGAGAGGACTTCCTCTCTCTCGGCACTGGCTGTGAAGGGAACTGAGGGTGCTCTGCGTCATTAACGAGTCTGCTTCCAGGGCCCAATCACAAGCTCCAGGGGAATGAGGTCTCGTCTGTCTTGTTCACGGCACTCCCAGAACCAGGCGCACAGTAGGTGTTATTTAGCAAATAAATATCTGTTAAATGGAAAAGAGAATTGGGGGAAGGAAGGGAAACAGAGCTAATGTTCTTGAAGGGACACAGCCCTCAGAAAAACGAGGTTCAAGCTGCCGACACGGGACAAGATTTCACCTTGACAACCAGACTCGCTCAGGAGGTGGACGTGAACATCCACTGAAGGACCTGAACTGAAACTCCGGATACTGCTTCCTCAAAAAGGGTAAGAGAAAGTACGAGCACCACTTGGGTAGGAGACGTGAGATGCTGTGCCCTCTGGCCTCTCAAATAAACCAGGCCTCTCCCTTCCCCTATGTGTAAGACGAGTGGAAAGAAAATGGGTGAAAGCGCCTCTCTGCCCCCAACGTCCCTCGACGCCCCCAACCCTTCAGTGAGTAAAGGGGGGCGCATCCTCCAATGAGGTCCCCCTCCGCCTGGTGGTTCCAGAAGGCCCCACCTTCTCCGGCACCTTCTGTGAGCAAAAGACGGGCATTTCGGCCGGGCGCCCTCACTGCCCTGGGGTCTCCTGGCGATGCTGTGTCTTCTGGTGCCGGTTGAGGATGGACCGCTGGTTGAAGCTCCGGCCGCAGGCAGGGCAGCAATAGGGCTTCTCCCCAGTGTGGATCCTCTGGTGCCTGACCAGGCGCTCCCCCTTGCTGAACCGCTTCCCGCACACCTGGCAGCCGTAGGGCTTCTCCCCGGTGTGGGCCCGCCGGTGCACGGCCAGGTTGGCATTCCTGCTGAAGCGCTTGCCGCACTCGCAGGTGTAGGGCTTCTCCCCGGTGTGCGTCCGCCGGTGCACCTGCAGGTGCTGCCGGCGGCTGAAGCTCTTCCAGCAGTCCCCGCACTGGAAGGGCTTCTCGCCCGTGTGGCTCCTCTGGTGGACCTCCAGGTGGTGCCGCTGGCTGAAGGTCTTCCAGCACTCGCCGCACGCGTATGGCCGCCTGCCCAGGTGGGTCCGCTGGTGCTTCAGGAGGTACTCACGCAGCGCGAAGCCTTTCCCGCACTCCCCGCAGCCGTAGGACTTGTCTTCTTCGTGGGTCCGCTGGTGTCTGACCAGATTTGAGCTCCGACTGAAGCCTTTTCCGCACTCGGGGCACTGGAAAGGCTTCCAGAAGGAGCTGTGGGTCTTGAGGTCATCAGGCAGGGGGACAATGCCGCGCTGGGGAGGGGGCAGCCCGGGCGCGTTCCCCACCGAGCTCCCGGCCTCCTGCTCACAGGTTCTTCCGAACTCCGGGACCTGGAGAGAGGCTTCCCCAAACCTCTCTGCCGGCCCCCGAGCAAGCGGCCCCTTGGGGTCTGCCGGCTGGGTCTTCGCCTCCTTTTCCTTGCTCCCCAGGCCTACAGGACAAGGGAGATACAGACCGATATTGAAACAGATCTGAAGGTAAACTTCCATGCTAGAACCTGGCTTCTAAGGGTGTCCCACTAACAATTCCTTCTTTTTTCCTTTAACCAACAACCTCAGTACATTTGACGTTCTCTGACTCTAAAACCAGACATTCCTTTACTTCTTTCCATCTGTTACGGACTGTTTGTGTTCCCTCCTAAATTCACAGGTTGAAGCTCTAAGCCCCCAGGTGCTGCTATTAGGAGGTGAGGCCTCTGGGCACTAATTAGCTGAGGGCATGAGGGTGGAGCCCCCAGGATGGGATTATGTCCTCTAAGAAGAGAAGCCAGAGCTGGCTCTCTGCACACACAGAGGTCATGTGAGCATGATCCTTCATGATGGGATTAAGGTCCTTATAAAAAAAGGAAGAGACACAAGATGTCTCTCTCCCTCAGCCACGTGATGACAAGGCAAGAAGGTGACCACCCATGAACCAGGAAGAGAGGCCCTCACCAGACAACAAATATGCCAGCAACTGGATCCTGGACTTCCCAGCTTCCAGAACTATGAGATATAAATGTCTCTTGTCTAAGCCGCCCATTCTCTGGTACTTTGTTACAGCAGCCCAAGCTCAGACAATCTCCATGCCCTTTTACAGAACAGTCTGCTAAATTTTAATGCCCTCCCTCTTAACTTCCTACTAAGTCAGACTTTGCTTTCCTTCAAAATCTAACTCAATGGTTTCCTCTAAGGAACTTGCCCAGATTACTGCCCCATCCTGGGTCTCATCAACACATATACTCAATTAGCACCGTTTATTCCACACTTACTTATGACTAACCTTGTTGCACGTGCTATTCTACGGTCATCTGAGATGTTCAGCTTCCCCAGGATCACAGACCTGTTCCAGCAATGGGGAGCTCCCGGCACTGCATGTCCTCCCTCAGCTCACTATCCCTGCTCGCACTGTGCCCTCCACCTCACCCTGTTTTATTAACCTGGGTCTCTGGGAGCCTGGCACAGGGACTGACTCAGGGGAGACGCTTCATGACTGCCGGATGAGTGAATGAACCCAGTCTGTACCAGACTACCTCTACATCGGCGTATTTATTAGGACTGAAACGCCCTTCTACAAGTCCTTCCTGTGATCCCTCTTATACCCTCTCTAAATTAATAGTTGTTTATAGAAGATCAAGAGGAAGGGAAGGAGAAGAGAGAAAAGAGGTACTAGGGAGCAAAGAAGCCAAAAAGAAAAGAAGAGGGAAATGACAGGTGATGCTTAAACGGGAAAGAGTCGTTTCAGGCAAGCCCATTAAAAGGTAAAGGGAGGGACTTCCCTGGTGGCACAGTGGTTAAGAATCGTCCTGCCAGGGGACTTCTCTGGTGGCGCAGTGGTTAAGAATCCGCCTGCCAATGCAGGGGACACGGGTTCAACCCCTGGTCCAGGAAGATCCCACATGCCGCGGAGCAACTAAGCCCATGCGCCACAACTGCTGAGCCTGTGCTCTGGAGCCCGCGAGCCACAACTACTGAGCCCATGTGCCACAACTACTGAAGCCCGCGCGCCTAGAGCCTGTGCTCTGCAACAAGAGAGGCCACCGCAATGAGAAGCCTGCGCACCACAACTAAGAGTAGCCCCCCTCTCCGCAACTAGAGAAAGCCCATGCTCAGCAACAAAGACCCAATACAGCCAAAAATAGTAAATAAATTTCTTAAAAAAAAAAAAAAAAAAGAATCCGCCTGCCAATGCAGGGGACACGGGTTTAAGCCCTGCTCTGGGAAGATCCCACATGCTGCGGAGCAACTAAGTCTGTGCGCCACAACTACTGAGCCTGCGCTCTAGAGCGCACGAGCCACAACTACTGAAGCCCACACACCTAGAGCCCATACTCCACAACAAGAGAAGCCACCGCAATGAGAAGCCCGCTCACCACAACGAAGAGTAGCCCCCCGCTCGCCGCAACTAGAGAAAGCCCGCGCCCAGCAATGAAGACCCAACGCAGCCAAAAATAAATTAATTTTTTAAAAAAAAGATAAAGGGAAAAAGAACGTTTCATGCCTCGTGATGTGATAAAATATGAAGGACACAGCTCTCACTTCTGATGTATTCTTTTATTTTGCACCTTTCACAAAAGTAAGTGTGCAAAACATAAAGAGCTGAAAGAATTTTCATAATGAAGATGACCATTAAATAGCAGCCACTTCAAGAAACAACATCACCAGCACCCAGAAGCCCCTCCCGTCCCCTCCGGAGACTGGTGACACCATCCTGCCCCCAGGGTAATGTGTTATCCAGGCTTTATGGTGATAAAGTTCCCAAGCTTTACATATTTGATTCACACATTGTGTCTGCTTCTTCTGCTCAATATTACGCCTGTGTGATTCACCTGTATCATGGTGTAGCTGTAGCTGCACTACATTCCCTCTCATCAGTGTACGATGTTATACTGTAAGAGTATGTGACACTCTCCTTATTAATCTGGCTGATATTCATCTGGGTAGTTTCCAGGTTTGAGGTGTTACGTACAGCAAAATTAAAATAAATGCAATGCATGAACCTAACTGGACGTGGGGAAATGTGAGTACGAGCTAGATATTATGTATCATGGAATTTATGTTTATTTTCTCAGGCCCAATCCTAGACAGTTGTCAATGCAAGAGCTGCAATCACGTGGGAAGAACTCTCAGGAAGACTCAAGGTTGAGACGGCTAGAGGATGCTATGCTTGGGAAGCAGACCTCCGGCTCACCCAGTCTCAGCGTAAACGTTAGGGAAGTACGTGGGTTGTTTTGAAACAGTGAGCGGATAAGAGGACAAGCATAAAGCCAGAGTCTCTAGAACAGTCAGAATGGCCAGGAGGGTGTAAAAACTTGCTAGGAACACAGTGGCGGCCTTGGCAGAGGCCCGTCCCCAGCGCCAGGATGAAAGCGCTAGGATGCTGGCACCTCCATGGGTGCACCACGCACGGCTCCTGCGCTCTGCATTTACCTCGGAGGGGTTCCACGTCCTTTGCCATCACAGAAATCGCACATCTCTTCATCATGGGTGACAGCCTTGTACTGGACCCAGGCCTCCCAGTATACTGCCACTGACATTACTCTGTGATGACCGCTAGTCAAAACTCCACATTTAACTTTACAGTAGCCCTCCGCATCCAAGCTTCCTCATCCGCAGATCCAACCAACAGCAGATCACGCGGGACTGTAGTACGTGTTCATTGAAAAAATCCACGTGTAAGTGGACCCACACAGATCAAACCTCTGTTGTTAATGGGTCGACTGTATGACACGTTTGCACGTTTTAAGATGAAACATGTTTTAACATGTTTTAAGATGAAAAAAGACCAGGAGACGTCAGTACAGGTGAGTGGTCAGCACATGACTTACAAAGAAGTGATGAGAGGAGGAAAGAGAGAATCAGAGGAAACAAAGGAGGGGGCCCTTCGCAGCCACGGTTCCCCTCTCCCCACCGCCCACCCCATCCAAGCCACGGGGCTGTCACCCCTCGTCCCTAGCCCTCCGCAGTGTTCACCGGCTGTCCCTGGTGGGCCCTCGGTGTGCACTTTCCAGGCTCACCCTTCCCTCCTACCTTCTCCTGCTGCTTCTCCCCCACAAGCACCTTTCCTCCCAGCTCTGACGCCAGGTAAAATCCGGCTGCCACCTGAGACGCCCGGCCAGGGCCCTGCTTGCTCTGCAACACCAGCCCACACCAGCCCCATCCACTGCTGAGATCCCACTGCAGCCCCGTGCCCTCCTGCACCCACACACTGTGGGCTCCGAGGTTTCATGAACGTCAGTCCTGCCCCAACACAGAACTGCTAACGTGGGGCCTGCACACAAGGGAGCGCTCCATAAACACAGGCTGGTGAAAGAGATCAGAGGATCCCCCTTTCGCTGCTTTTCTCTTGCTCTCAAGCCCTCAGTCCCCTTCAACTACACAGTAGGAGTTCGTTCAGGGCATCCTAACAACCGACCTGTCTCATTTCAGCCAGAATAACTACCTGGTGTTTTCTTGCTCCTTGTCTGCTCCTCTCCTGACCCAGGAAAGCACCTCGCCAGCTCCGATGTGCCTTGGTCCACGCGCTTTCCACAGACCCATTTACTCATCTGCCGTGATATTCCCTTCCTTTATCAGTAGCATCAGGTTCTGAAATCTGGGGCAAGGACAACAACCCTGACCTACAGCTTTCACAACTCCTCAGTTTCTTACCTCCGGGATGGAAACAGTCTTACCTGGAGGTGAGACCCCGCAGTCCTGGGGCTCCACGTACTCCCCAAGGCAGTCTATCTGGGCTGGGGTCACGTGCCTCCACTCCTCCTCGGGGAAAGCCAGGGCCATGTCTTTAAATGGGCCCAACCCCTGAAACAGCACAGGAGATGGCTATGGATAAAGAAATAATCCCGAGGCAGGAGCAGTGGAAAAGCAGAGAGACACAGGGGACAACATTCCAGGGGAGAACAGAGCAGGAAGGCAGAAGGAATGCGGGTCCCTAGATGGTTCCGAGTGGGGTCAGAAGGGCCTCCCTCTCGACAGTTCAATGGCAGAGAACGATGGACTTGTCTGAGCCACTGTATTTTTGAGCCTCTGCTGCAGCCACTTGGCTGGTACCCAACAACTGCGGCCTCTAACTTCCACCGTTCAATCACCTGCACTCGATCCTCATGTTTGATGGAGACTGGGGGCTGCTGTTTAGCCCCTCAACCAGAACTGACTTTCCCTCAGAGATAAGTAAAAACTCGGGCTGGCCCTGCCTCAGGAACAACGTTGTGTTGAAATCAATGTGTCGTCGTCATGACACCGTGAAGAACTACTGTGGTAGAAGGAGAGGCTCTGACCAAATTCAAAAACTTTGATGTCCTTTCTTCATCTCCTCTAAACAATATGCTTGGAAAACAGAAGCAGCAAACAGCACAGGCATCAACCCTTGCCCAAATACGGCTTTAGTGAGCTCAAACTTGAGTCACTTCTGGGAATTCCCACAGGAGGGGTCAGAGAGACCACTCGGCTCAGGGCTCCTGGGAGCGCCCACCCGAGTCGCTTCCCTCCTGCTGACGTGGGGGGAGGATGGGGTCCAGAGGAAGAGCAGCGGCAGAAGTATCCATAAAGCGCATCCACAAAGGGCTACTGACCTCCTGGCCATCCACCACACCCTAGATCACGCCTCTGGGATTTCCACCACTAATGTCTTCCTCCTCACAATTACAAGAGTAATACTGAGTCGATGGAGGAAAAAAAAGAAAAAAAAAAAAACAAAGAGTAATCCAAATGAGTGAACTGAGCCTCATGCCTAGACCCTAAGGCAGGGGTCCCCAACCCCCAGGCTGGTACCGGACCGCGGCCTGTTAGGAACCAGGCCGCACAGCAGGAGGTGAGCGGTGAGCGAGTGAAGCTTCCTCTGCCGCCCCCATCGCTCCCCATCGCTCGAATTACTGCCTGAACCATCCCCCCACAGCCATCCGTGGAAAACTTGTCCTCCACGAAACCAGTCCCTGATGCCAAAAAGGTTGAGGACCGCTGGCATAAGGCTCAATTCAAATTAATAACTGAGGATGTAGTGGAGAAAACGAAGCCGTCACATCTATCAGAACAAGAAAGGTAGAATAATTCAACTCTGCGGACGGTGCTCTGCTGTGAGGAGAAATCTTGGGAAGGTGAGCCTCATTCAAAGCGACATCAGGATCCCTGAAGAGCAGTCACAGCTCACCTGGGATCCAGCTGTAAGGAACCCCACTGCCATCTCTTGGTCTCTGGTGCTCACTGCAGGGAGGCCAGGACCAGCCGGAAGAACTGGCAGAGCTGAGCAGGGAAATAAACCAGGAGCAGGATTAGCGCTGTCCTGCAGCAGCTCGTCCACACGCGTCTAGTGCCTGACACAGAACCCCAGGAACCATAAGGAGACTCCAGACAGGTAGGTGTGGGTGTACCCTACCCTGTTCTAACCCTGTTCTCAGCTAGGAAAAAGGGCCCGACCCAATATGCGCTGCCCTTCAGGGCTGTTCACGCTCCCAAGTCACGCTGCAGCAATAACCCGCCTTGAGATTCAGCAACACAATAAGTCACATGTCACTTTTAGGGATTCAGTTTATATGCCCACTTAAAGAAAATATCCCTACATGTCAGCTACATACTTCCTGGCAGTTTCTAGAAGGGATGTGAGGGAAAGGAGAAGAAATGATAAGAGAGCGTGATACCAGATATCCCCCGCAGAAATCAGGAGATCGAGCTATAGAAAACAATTTCACTTCATCTGTTTCCTACTGAAGTCCAGGAAGTAGCCAGGAAAACCCAGAACTGCACGCTACAGGTAACTTAGTTTATCAACTGCAGGGTTTGTAAAGGAAAGGGGAGGGGGCAGGGCACGAAGCACCCTTTTCTGTGCCCTTTCTTCCTCACTGCTTGCAGCTTACCCTGCTCCTGGAAGGCCTGTGTCCCCTCTCCAGGATCCTGGTTGAGCTGCTCCTCAGTGCCTTGGTCGAGGCCTTGAATTCCTTCCCCATGGGGCAGCCCCCACTCGGGCTTGACCTCCACGGGTCCCAGGTGGACACTTGGCTCCCAAGGACCTCTGCAAAGTGCTGTCTCCTCCTGCTCTCCCTGCACACGGCACGGAACCTAAGAACAGGCCCCAACACCTATTAGAATGAGGCCTGCATAAGGCTGTTATGAAAGGGGTTGAATTAAAACCTAAAAAAGAGACCCACTGCAGCTGCAGGGGAGACAAAGGACAAGCCGGCTCAGCTCTTCCCCAGGACATGAGTGAGAAGGTGAAAAGGAGGCTAAACTGTCTTTATCAGGCGCTGAGCAACTTCTATGCATCCATGCCATTTTACAAGGGTCCCTTCTGCCCACATCAATACTGATCAAATTCCACCATGAACAGTATCACAGAGAGATGTTATTATTATTCCAATGAGAACTTTAGCCCAAAACACTCACTATTAGAAAAAAGATTCCCCAATTACAGATGCTGAAAGTAAAAAATACAAAGCCTAGACTGTGCAGTGAATCAGTGAGAAAAAAACTGCTCTAGGAATAGCAAGGAAAACCAGAACTCACAAGAACAGGCCTTTACTGGTCCACTTTTAAGCTCCTTGGTAGGGAGTAAAAAAACAAAACAACTCTCTTAGGACTATACAGGAAGTCAGGGGTGACTGCGGTGGGAAAAGGGAGAACAAAATGAAGACAGATTGTTACCTGCAAGCAAGACAGTAACGTTCAGTCCTGCCCTCTCTTTCCCAGACGGCAATCGGGAAACTACCAGAGAGGGACAGACACATGGCCAGAGTCCCAAGGGAGCATCTGAGATGCAAAGTCACTCACTACGTGAGCCGTCTCAGCCAACATCCCAGACATGGAAACGGCACTGTTCCAGACAATGCTTCTCAGGAAGAATACTCACCAAGTGGAATTCCGGAATTCCCTGCATCACCACATGCATCTCTGCCCAAAGAGGAATGAGTCTACCAGGGCCCTTGAAATAGATCACAACTGCCTTCTTTGGACCCGAGGCTCACAAGGGAAATATGGCCAGGCCTCTGCCCTGATGACCAAAAAAGGAGCTGACAGCCCTTCCACCGGCCCTGCGTCTTCCCTGGGAATGGCTTTCCTTGATGAAAACTCCTCTGTCCTCCAAAATGTACCCCAGATGGTCGGGGAGCAGAGGAGGGAGATTCTGCACCTCATCCACTCCCACTGCTTCCTCAAACCTCTCGCTTCCCGCACCAACAGAACGAGACCCAGATCCCCCTTCTCACCCACCGCCTTGGCCTCCAGGGCTCCCTCCGTGAAGCCCTCCACCACGGCCACAAGGGCTTTGCCGCTCTCCGGGCTGTGCTCCCGAATCCAGGCGTAGAACTCCCGGGGCAGGATGGTCAGGAACTGCTCCAGCACGAGCAGCTCCAGGATCTGCTCCTTGGTGTGCAGCTCGGGGCGCAGCCACTGGCGACAGAGCTCCTGGAGCTCCCTGAGGGCCTCCTGGGGACCAGCCGCCTCCTGGTAGCGGAACTGCCGAAACCTCAGGCGAAAAGTCTCCGGGCTGGGGCCTTCCCTCGCCCTGCCCCACGGCAACTCTTTCTCCAGTTTTACCACAGGGACACCCATTTGCTGCTGACGATCTTCTGCCATCCCTGGACACTCTTTAAGCATCTTCACACTCCCTCCCAGAAGACTGAGGGTCTGTTGGGAAGACCAGACAGACAATGAGAACAGCGTAAATAAGACACAGGGAAGGTCAGGTCATCCCAGTTCTGTTCTCTACGTCAGTGAAATTAGGACTTAGCGTATACCCACAAATAGCTTAAAATCTCAAGAGAGAGACAACACTACAATCACAGAAAAATATAAGATGGGTTATAACTAGGTTAGTCACCAGGGCCCACTCTTCCAACACTAAATATACATTCGACGTGTATCTATGCCTGACCCACAGAAACCAGAACTACAACAGAGAACAAGATAGACAAGGTGCTTGCCCTATGAAACTCACATACTGGTACAGCAGACAGGAAAAAAAAAAAAAATTAGGGAATTCCCTGGTGGTCCAGTGGTTAGGATTCCGCACTTTCACTGCCGAGGGAACAGGTTCAGTACCTGGTGGGGGAAACTAAGATCCCCGCAAGTCCCATGCGCTCGGCCAAAAAAAAAGAAACAAATAAATTTAAATTATAAATGGGGATAAGTTCTAAAAAGGAAGTAAGGAGGGTGTTAATGGGGACAATCAACTTAGAGATGTGGGGACTTCCCTGGTGGTCCAGTGTCCGAGGCTCCTCGCTCCCAGTGCAGGGGGCCTGGTTTTGATCTCTGGTCGGGGAACTAGATCCCATGTGCCACAACTAAAGATCCCCCACATGGCAACCAAGATCCCGCGTGCCACAGCTAAGACCCTGCGCAGCCAAATAAATAAATATTTTAAAAATACAAAAAACCTTGGGCTTCCCTCGTGGCGCAGTGGTTGAGAGTCCACCTGCTGATGCAGGGGACACGGGTTCGTGCCCCAGTCCGGGAAGATCCCACATGCCGCGGAGCGGCTGGGCCCGTGAGCCATGGCCGCTGAGCCTGCGCGTCCGGAGCCTGTGCTCCGCAACGGGAGAGGGCACCGCAGTGAGGGGACGACCAACCACCAACAAAAAAAAAAAAAAAAAAAACTTGGAGAAGGCTTTTCTGAATAAATAGTGCTTAGGCTAAGACCCAACGAATGAATGAGATGAGCCAATCATTGAAAGAGCATTCCAGGCAAAAGCCTTGGGGCTAGAAATTACTCTGCAGTCTGAGAACACGCCCCAGTGCGGTGTGGCTTCAGCAGGGTGAGGAAGGGAAAGAGCTCAGAGGCAGGCGGAAACCACATTACCGAGGGCCTGGGCACACACTAAGAATTATGGGCTTTACTCTTATTCCTTATTTTAGTGGGGAGATACATGTTCTTCAAAGGTCACTCTGCCTGGGAAGTGTCAATAGAGAATAGATAAGAAGGGTCAAGAAGGGAAACTGCGCTTACCGTGGTCCAAGCAGGAGATAAGAGACTTAGATCAATGTGGTGACAGAGAAGCAAAGTCAAGACATCTGGGAGGTAAAACCAATAGACATGCTGGTGGCTAGGATGTGACGGTGTACTCAACCTAGAGAAAACAACAGAACAATATATATATATCATTACTTTAATTGATCAGAAGATTTCTAACTTGTGTAGGCTTTACCATTCAGAAAACATGTGAGCACATACTCTCATTTAATACTTCAAGTGTCTGCTTAACATTCTATTGGAAGTTTCTGTATCTACCTATCTACCTAGGTATCTAGCTACCTACCTATCTTAAATCTATTTACATTTTCAGTCTATTCATTTTCTCTGCTGCATCAATTGAGATTTCTCTTTCCTGGCTTTCTAGCTATTGCATTTGTTCATGGTTGCATTTACCGCATTATAGCACGAATGTTTACCCCCGTGTCTCCCTCCGTCTGCCAGATTCCCTTTAGTCAGGAAAGGTCCTCACTCATCTTTTACCCCTAGCACTCGACAAACAGGCTTCCCATGGTTTCTTTAAATGAGCGTCTGGTTCTAGAACGACCACTCTCACTCTTCACAGTGTTCCGCTTTGGTTCAAGAGATCAGGGTCGTGGACACCCCTCCGTTAAGGCAACCCTGGCCGGGCGGGATCAGCCTGGCTCCTACCTGAGCCCAGCGCAGTGCGGCCCCCAGGGTCCCGACCCGCAAAGACTCGGTGCCGCGGGAGTCGGCTCCGGGGAGACGCGCCGCCCGCGGCGACAGCCTCGCAGCTGCCGAGGCCCGCAGCAGGCCCTCAGCCCGGCCCCGGAACCCCGGCCACTTCCGCCCCGCAGCCCCGCACCTGTGCCGGGCTCGCCCAGGCCCGCGGCGGATCGGAAGTGGGCGACGGACGCTGTCAGACAGGTGCGTCAAGGAAGGGCCCCTTCCGTTTCCCCTCTAGGACTCTCGGAGGCCGGTGCGTCTCGATGGTCGCTCGTCCCCGGGGACCGTTCGGGAGCGCGCGCTGGACCACCAGGGGCTCCTACCCCGCCTACCTACTCCCCTGGAGGCTCGCGGTCGCCAGGCCCCTTTGCGCCTCCGTGCCTTTGCACCTGCGTTCCCCCGGTGGGAAGGACCCTCCGGACGCACCGCCGGGTACCGCGCCTCCCTCAAAGACTTTAGAGACCCGTCGGCCAACAAGTGTTTATTGCAGCCTCCGGCGCTTTTTGCGAGGGTTAGGGGCGGAGGGTGATGGAGGGTAGCACCGAGTATTGTGGGTCCACATAAGGGGCCTCCACCCTGGGTAGTGTTGGGGGGCGTAGGCGTAGGCGCTAGTCAGGGAAGCCTTCCTGGAGGAACCGACGCCTGAGCACAGATTTGATGGATGGACCCAATAGTGAGGTCAGGTGCCCCCAGCGGAGGGAGCACGACGAGCCCAGCAAATGGTGGGGACTGGTGGCTTTCCCGCACCCTCAGAGCCGCTAGAGCAGGCGGCTGAGCTAGGTAACCTGGAGGCAATGGGAAGCCGCGGAAGGATTTGAAGGCGGGAAGGGACCGATTTTAGAAAGATACTACAGAGAAACCTGCAAGAAAGACTGAGTAAGAGGCGAGGGAGGTGGGGAGATGAGAAGACTGACTGTGGGTTAAACGAAGCTAAATAATGCAGTCCCAGAGAGAAAGGATGAGAGACAGGACCGGGGAATTCGTGAGACTAGAGATCGCAAGGAGAGTTTGGATATCAAACATATTGGGAAAGTAAAATTGGCAAAGTTTAGGAATTGATTGGATCTGGAGGATGAGAGAGAATGTGGAATCATTTAGTAAATGACAAAGGCTACATCTCATATCAATAAGAGTGGACCTTTAGAAAGCAGACAACTGGTTGGTCATCTGGAAGAAGGTAACGTTGGGTCCATTCCTTATACCACATGCCAGGGCAAAGTCCAGCCCTGCTCACAGGGTCTCCCATCCTTTTGTATTACAAATTTTGTTATCAACCCATCTTGGAAATATTGTTGGCTAGCCTCCTCATTCGCTAACATGCCCTCACATCCAAGAAGGACAAGGCTGAACCTTGTCATCGAGGACCAAGAGAAACAGCCTGATGGACTTAGTCTGTCTTGGAAAACTGAACTATACCTAGCGACTTCAAAAACCATCGTTCAGCTTGCCATGGAGAAGACACAAGGAAGAAAGCATTCTGGAAGAGGCAAAGAGAGATTGGATCAGATCACAGGTTTCCAGGTCAGCCTTGGAGAAGAGAAAGGGGTTCATCTGAACGGGGAAGAAAAGAATCAAAGATGGGTTATGGTCTAGGTTAGGGCTCAGCAAACTTTTTCTATGAAGGGCCAGATGGTAACTATCCTAGACAGAACACATAGTGTGTCGCCTGCTCTTCATTTTTACAATCCTTTAAAACTGTAAAAACCATTCTTAGCTCACAGCCAGGGCTGGATTTGACACAAGGGCTGTAGTTTGCTTACCCCTGAAATAGATTATTTTAAAATTATTCTAGAGAAGTGTTTAAGGAGCTCATTCTTAACCTCTTTTCTCAGTGATGTTACCTGCTGAGAGTGCAGGGGACAATGGTAGGTTGGAGCCTAAATAATGGAGTGAAGATTAGAATATCTGTTGTGAGGAATGATGTAGTAGGAAAAAAATCATAGAATGAATGAAAAGATTGTCAAGCAACACTGAACGACTGATATTGAAAACAAAACAAAATAAGTGACAGAATCAATCCACACAATTGTCTATGCAGTCTGGGGGCTAAGAAAACAGCTGGCTTAATCCAATAGTAGGATTGGCCATAAGGATGATTATGAAAGAATGCCAAGGGCGTGGGGGGAATGAGGGCTCTAGTGGGAGAAGGTTGTACTGAGTGACCATGGAGTCCAAGCTGAGTGGGGGAGGGACCGAAACCAACAAGAAAAACACGGAGACCTGAGGAATCAGAGGTTAGGATGAGGCCATGAAGCAGGTTTCAGGAATTTTTTCGGAAATGTTATAGGCAAACTAAGCATAAAACGCATTATCCTGTTTGTTTTCCATAAACAGAATCATACTATATTCTGTTCTGCTCTTTGCTTTTATTCAGTAAACAACATATCTTTCCACATCTACGCATACTGATCTACCCCACTCTACCAGCTCTACAGTATTCCACTGTATGTTCTGTGTTCCCCATGATTTATAAAGCTTATTAGTGGACATTTAGGCGGTTTCCAGCATTCGGATTTACCAGAAACCTGGATGAACGTCGTCATACAGAATTCCTTGTGCACTTTTTGGCAAATAAATCTAAAGGATGAGTTCCCATAAATGGAATTACGGGATCTAAAAGTCACATGCATTTTAAATTTTGTCAGCTATTGCCAAATTATCCTGCAAAGAGTCTGCACCAATTTCCACTCTCACAAACAGTGGGGGATAGCGTTCATTTTCCCACAATCTCATGAACACTGGATGTCATCAAACTTTTTCATCTTTGCCAATCTGATGAGTGAAATCAGTGATGCCCACATTTTTGTTTGGACTTCTTAATTATAAGTGAAGTCGTTTTTCCTACCTTCATTAGCTACTTGTATTTCCTTTTCTGCAAACTGGCTGTTTTTACCCTTTCCTCTGTTTCTGTTGGGTTTGTTTATCTCTTTCTTACTGATATATGAGTTTTTTGAAAATTAAGGAAAATAACCCTTTTTCAAATGTTTTGCAAATATTTTCCAATTTGCATTTTGTCTTTCTTAATGGAACTCTGTGCACTGCAAAATATTATATGTTTTACATATTCAAATTAATCCTTCCTTTTTCTTTAAATCTTCTCCATTTTGTGCCTTCCATCCTCCAAGATGATTTTTTAAATCCCCTGTACGCACTTCTAAGACATTTATTGTTAGGTTAAATCTGAGGTCTGTCGGAAATGCATTCTGATCAAAGGAAAAAAAAAAAAAAGAAAATCCAGCCAGCCTTTTTTTTTTTTTCCAAATGGCTAGCAAGTTTTCCTCAACCATTTATTGAAGGATCAATAACCCTTCCTGGGCTTCCCTGGTGGCACAGTGGTTGAGAGTCCGCCTGCCGATGCAGGGGACACGGGTTCGTGCCCCGGTCCAGGAAGATCCTACATGCCACGGAGCGGCTAGGCCCGTGAGCCATGGCCGCTGAGCCTGCGCGTCCGGAGCCTGTGCTCCGCAACGGGAGAGGCCACAAGAGTGAGAGGCCCGCGTACCGCAAAAATAATAATAATAATAATCCTTCCTGATTTAAAAGGTTAATTTTATCAAATATTATATTCCTCTATAAAGTAGGCTTTATATTAGTACTCTTATTCTGTTCTGTAATCTATCTGTATCCTGTGTCAGGACCTGCCAAACTGTTTTAATTACTGCAGTTTTATGTTGTGCTTTTGCATCTGGAAGAGATTTTCTGTATCACTGACCGTAATTTCCCATGGTTTAAAGAAGAGATTGTTGGAGAAAAATTAAGAATGTTACCCTGAAAACTGCAAAAGAAACCAGATAAATTCTGACCTCATGCTCCTGGCCCTGAGAGACCAGGCTAGAACTAAGGATTGCTAGGGAAGTGGCATTGTCAGAAAGAAGGCAGATTTCAGGAAGATGAGCAAATGAAGCCTTTTTTTTTTTTGGCAAAGAACATGGTATTGAATGAATTGAGAGCATGGGGGCAGGGCAAGAAAGAAGGGAAAAAGGGAGGAAGGGAAGGAGAAAGGGACAGATGCAGAGGGAGAGAGGAAGAAAATTATCTGACAAGAGACAGAAGAGATGAGGTTATGTGGTGAAATACAGAAAGCCGGGAGAAGTTGTCATGACCATAAAGAGGAAACAGGTTAAGAGGCAGCAGAGTTTACTTTAAAATTTTAAAAACCTGTACTGAACATCAGAGGGCTTCACCTCTCTGGTTCTTTAATAAGAAAATGGGTAGAATCATAGATGGCCTGTCTTTAGCAGGACAGAGTGAAATGGCAGATGTGAACGTTGTTTTAGCATTAACTATAGAAATGAAGGTTATAGGAGTTCAGAGTGCTGGTATGGACAGTGTTGGATATTTGACTTATATTACCCAACTTACCCTTTAAGATTTAATATGAATTTTTGAATAGGTAATACATGTACATGATTCAAGAGCCAAACTCATATAAGAAGTTACACACAGAACTATTACTCCTCCCTCTGCCCACTCCACCCACCCCATTTTTTTAAATATAAATTTATTTATTTATTTTTGGCTGTGTTGTGTCTTCATTGCTGTACACGGGCTTTCTCTAATTGCGGCGAGCGGGGGCTACTCTTCGTTGCGGTGCGCGGGCTTCTCATTGCAGTGGCTTCTCTTTTTTTTTTTTTTTTTTTTTTTTTTTTTTT